GAAGCACCTTGGATAATCTCCAGAAATCAATTTAAAGGGTAATAAAATAATTGCCGATGTAATATTTTCCCTATAATTATTACGAAAACAGAAACTAAGTAAAAGTAAGTATTTATATTTGCATACAAGCTATTTAGATTGTCAAAAAGCCTGTGTTTTTAGGGTTATTAACGAAGTTCGTGTACTCAGACCAGTAATATTTGGGGTCACAAGATTATGCCATGGATCTTTTGTGGGTCAGAAGACAAAAAGTTTGGGAAACAATATTTTAGACAACTTATGAAAAGTCTACCCTAAAGATGGAATAACTGGAAGCTCTTTTGGACATATGCATACAGTAATGCAAACAAATCAAATATATAAMCAACATGAGTAATTTATTCATAGCAAAATTTTCATACGTCTGCACAAGTTGTCTAAAACCTTAACAGTGAGAACATTTAACAGGACAGTCTTCACTTTTTTAAAAACAAAACTTGAACCCACCATTGCGGAACCAAGTWATTTTAAAGTGAAAACATTAAATATACAAAGAAAATCTGATAATTTTGGAAAAACCTGAAGGGAGTTTTTWCCTAAAATGCACATTAATATTGCAAATACTAGCACAATGGAGGGTTTTATTCATAAATTACAAAACATACTACCATAACTCGGGGTTCAGTCTGGTCTAAATATGTCAACACTTAAAGGGGCTGTGGACARAACTGTAAACCTGGTATTATTGACATTAGAACCAGCCACGTCACAACCACCTGTTTAACCTGCAACACTGASGGGGTTCAGACAATAACCTGAAGGATAAATCCTATTGTTCACTTTTAAATAAATATTTGACCAAATCTACATTTAATTGAATACACTCAGAGACAATTATTACTGTAGCCCACATTTTAAATTGTTTTAGGTGAGAATGCTCTACTTMATGACAGTCAACCACAGAAAAACTCACTGAATGACCTTTGCTAACAAAGGCAGACGTCTTGATGATTATATCCTGATTTAATATTCATTAAAGTATTGCCTGTTGGAGCATTACTTTGAAGGAAATWTAGATTTTTATTCTGAGAGAATAGTCTGGAACCACTTATGTTTTCCAGACTATTTTCCGTTTTTGTTCTTATCCAGGTTTGAAAAATGCTAAAAATCAAATTCCACTCTTTTGCAGAGGAACCTGTGAGACCTTGAACGTAAACCAGCCTTCATACAGCGCCAGGCAGCCGTCCAGTGAGGTTCGGCCACAGGAAGCGTGTTTGTGGAAACTTACATTTTGACATGTCGCTGCTCGATGTCCACCCTGGACAGCTCCTCCTCCTCCAGGTCAGAGTCCCCGCCGGAGCTACTTTCCGTTACGTCTGAGTCAAAGGCGCTTTCTGCTGAGTGGAGGTTGGCCGATCCACTCAAATACAGCTTCTCCAGCTCCAGGGGCATGGAGCCGCTTTTCAGGAACCGGCTCAGGCCGTCTCTGTTGTTGGAGGACGAATGACGCCCGGTCCTCCACGCCGCCGAAGACGGGGCCACCTCCGACTTGCGGCTGCCGGCTCGTAGCCTGCTAAGAGCMGAGTCCAAGAAGCCGCCCAGCTGCTGCTGAATGTGCCGCTCCACCTGCTTGGCCTGCACCACCTGAAGGCGTTTGCGCAGGCGCCGCAGCCGGTTCTCGATCTCGGCTTGGCGCCTGCTGTTTAGGAGCGTGCGCTCCCGGACGTGAGCGTCGAGGCTGTCTGAGGAGGAACCGCAGGGTGGAGGAGGCTTGGGTGCAGCTGTGCATGATGGGGAGCTCTGCTGGCTGCTGCCCGGTCTCTCCCTATCAGAACCCTGACTGGTGTTTGTGTGAGAATCGGCCTTGTCCAAACAAACTCGCTCAGAGGGGCTCGGGTTGTCCTGGGTGAAGGGGGGCAGACTAGCAGAATGAAGCACCGACGGTTCAAGGTTATTCCCATCTGCATTCTGAGAAGCTCCGGCGGAACTCTTCTGTTTGAGGCTTTCTTTTACTTGGATGTGACCTGATATGGTAGCGGTGAAAGTCTCCGAGTCCAACGACAGGTTCTGGGACTGAGAGTCCGTGGCGGCAGGAGGCTTATCACCGTTCACCGCCACCACGCAGCCCGAGCCCGACATGGTGGCCAGCTTCTTGGCCAGGCCGTTGACGGGCGTCATGGACTGGCCACTCCCGTTTGTGCTGCCACTCATGAGGCTTTTCAGCTGACCACCGGACAGTTCTATCGCCTGCCTCTTCCTCAGGAGGAAGTCTCCCCCGCCGTTGAGCAGGGAGCCGGGCAGGATTCTGTGACTTTTCAGCACAGACTGTTTGATGAGGACACCTTGCAGCTTGATTGACTCCTTAGTTGCGGGGACAGATGTCACATCAGAGCATAAATATGAAGCCACCAGGGGCTGAAGTTTGCCCAGGGTCGAGGCCTGGGACACGGAGTCAGTTTGGGGCGGCGGCTGCTGCTGCTGCTCCTGGTCGCCGCCGCAGAAGTCGAGGGGGCAGTCGTCGGCGCCGACCTTGCACTTGGCGGGGCCGCTGCTGTGGATGAGGATGTTGCTGGCGTTACCGTTGTTCTCTGCACTGGCTGGTGAGAGGCTGGAGGATGGGGCAGCCAGTTTGAAGCGGATGTGGTGAGCTTCGGCTGGGGCGTCAGTGAGAGCGGGCGCCATCGCAGCCATGCAGTGCAGAGGGACGGGCACCGCGGCCTGCTCCACTCCACCCGCTTACTGCCCCWCCAGAGGACAGCCTGCAGAGRACAGGACAGGACAGACGAGAAAAAAAAAGTTAACCTGAGAGAAGATACAGCCAAACATTTTCCCTATTCATTATTAAAATCATACATATTTCAATTATATTGATGCAGTTATAAAGTGACATAAAAAATACTGCAAAGTGACAACTTACTTTAAAACCAAAATGTTCTTCTTACCCACATATTAAAAAGTAAAACTTCACAGCAAATCTATACTAAACGTAAAAATAAAATACCTGCATAACAGGTTCTGTAAGTCTTTACAGACTGGAAAATTACCAACCACCACGCAGAGAGCAGCAATTTCTCATTATTAGACACCAATTATCAATATAAATGCAATAAAACTAGTAATCTACATTCTAAGTTTAACAGACAAACCATCTTACCTTCTCCCACACAAACACACAAGATCAGATAAATGTGGTTAAACTATGACCTAAATGAACCGGACTTTGGACTTTAAGCTTGCAAATGAAACCGGTTTTAAAAATAAGACATGCAAGATGTTTAAGCTTCCTTTTTTAAATCATTTATAGCCTTTTTACTTCATCCAAAAATAAAATATATTCCGTCAAATTATTATGCTCAAGCTAGGATCGAACTGAGTTGCAGATATTGGGAAACAAGTTATCAAAATAAAAATCCTTTAAAAAAATCCCAAAATACATTATTTTTTAGGTGATTTTGACCAAATCTTGCATGTTTGCAATCAAGCAGCCACAAATCACATGGCATCTTTTTAAATGGCCAGTTTTGTAAAATCACAGACTAAACGCACACAGCTTGCAAAACTACATTATTGGCCGTGCACATCATTTTGTTGTCTACCTCAGCTCGTTTTGTTCCCACTTTGGCAGAAACCCCCCCCCCCCCTGTGTTTATGATTCAAACTGCTGCAGTGCACTTATGGATAGATCTGGAGAAGTTCTTAATATTGTTGGTGTGGTTTCCTGTCAGAGGAGCGCTTCAGAGCAGCAGTCTTCTCGTCTCATGCTCTGTAATTGGGTCGGAGTCCAAGGTGTGGAGCAGAATGGACAGATGTCTTGTTTTGAAGACAAGAATAGGCGAAAAAATTCTTTAACTTCATGCGAAGTCACTGTGAATCAATCTTCTGGTAAAATGGTAAATGGACTCCAAAAAGTTTTACACTTCAGACACACACACACATCCACACACTGATGATGGTAAGCTATATTGTAGCCACAGCTGCCCTGGGGCGCACTGACAGAGGCGGGGCTGCAATGCACCGGCACCTCCGGGCCCTCTGACCACTATCAGTAGGAAAGGCAGGTGAAGTGCCTTGCCCAAGGACACAACGACTGAGACAGTTGGAATGGAAGTGTTTAATGAAAAAGTCTAAAGATTCAAACATTCAGCACTTAGCGATGTTCTGTAAACGTTTAGAGGTTTAATCAATGACTTTTACTGGTTGGACAGAGTGGCCATATTGTAATTTTTAATAGGCAAAAGCTAACAAATACAAAAAGGTTCTACTCAGAAATATAGCCATGATAATTTGTTTACATTGATAGCCTGCCCCTTCCAATATGGCGTCGCACTCCTCTATTCTATACACCTCATTGGATTTAATATTAGCCAAAGGGTTTTTTCATGCTAGCATATTGCTTTGGTCGTCTTGTTTAGCCAGCCATTAGCCTAGCCTACCCTGGTTAATGACTCATGTCCATATCTCCATACCACATCCTGAGCTCAGATCCCACAGCTGATAATCGATTAATAACTATTAAAACATCACTTCAAAAATGACCAGACTATCCCTTTAAGTGCTGACCTTGGRGAAACGGGATGCAAAAGATACAGATGGAATACCAGCAGTCACCTGAGCTAYGGGCAATAAATAATTCCCACAACAAGCATCCGTCTGCAAACAAGCCCTCAATGTCACTTCATCACAAGGCCGGTGTTAAGAAAGCAAAAGCTACGCAACTCATTTCTGACGGGGAGAAAAACAGGTGAGGCCAAATGCAAATAACCCAAACCCCACTGCCCTACATGTGCCCTGTCAAGTCAGCATGCAGCAGGGAGAAGAGGTGGATCCAGGCCCAACTCGTGTCGTCATCCTGACAGGATCATTGGGTAATTTATTTTGTTTAAAAAAAACTAATTGAAATCCTCCCACTTTTAGTGACACTACTGATGGGAAAGACACACAAAAACACCCCCCAGGATGCAATCACACATCTTTAACATGCATGATTGTTTTGGCCTGATAAGAAACTAAAAACGGCGGTTTTGAACAGAGCTGGACCCTCTGCAGGCTCAGATGAATGGGGGCTCAGTGTTTCACCGCAGTTTTCTGTCAGGCGCGCACTACGCCATGTTGGTATTTCCGAAGCAGATTATGCAACGCGATTCATCCACCTAAAAACCACCCATTCCCCTTTAAACACTCCAACAGACCCGGGGCTACACCCGGGAGGAAGTCCATCCAACAAATAAGTGACTAAAAACCGAGCAGGCTGTTTCTGATGCCACATCTAACGTGAACTATAACCATCAAAATGTCTTCCTGGTGTTTACCAAAGCGTTTAAAAGGCAGCAGTTTGATCGGGACGTGTTATTCTGATTAGTTATAAAAACATGATGGGTTTGGATCACACRGAGCCCTGCTGGGGAAACAAAGATCAGCTAAACCAGATCGTTAAACCCTTCCACTTAGATAACGCAAACGTGAAAATGCACGTCCAGCCCCGGAGAAGAAGAAGAAAAGCTGCTGATGCAAGAAACAACCTGCTGGCAAAGAAGAAACTGCAGTGAAACGAACCGAACATATCCCCGTTAACGTCGAGCTGGAGGCCAACTCTTGACTTTCTACGTAGGCGAGTAAACAATTAGAGACTACGTAACCTGCGGCCACTCCGGGTTTAATTACGCCCAAACTTATAATGTTTAAATAGTCGGGTGAACGCAGGAGATAAACGCGGGTTTGGACGGTAAACATGCGGATATCATAACCAGACAGCCTCGTTGAGGATAACAACTGTTAAACAGCTTTAATGTAGACGTGATTAAACTACAGGAACAAACACGGGCGGCTTGATTTTAATGTAAAAAGGCCTTTCCGCTGCCTTACGTGGGTGAAACGGCCCGTGGGTGATCAGACAGCGGAGCAGAAAACGTAAAAAGCTGAGAAGTTGGGAGTAGACCCAGGCAGTCTGGCTAGCTCGCTAACAAAGAAAAAGGAGGAACCTACCACGTGACGAGGTTGCACTATCCGAGGGAATTTCGGCAACAGTCCCCTGCAGTTTTGGTGGAAAAAAAAAACACACACACACACACAAGGCCACTAACACAAAATACACGAGGCTTGACTCGATCACGCTGCCATTAATAGATCCAAACGACCAGAACAAAAACACGGAGGGAAAGGGGGCCCCGRGTTTTGTCGGAGCTCGGCTCGGCTTCGTTCCGGATTCGGCTATGGCTGGGCGAATCAACGAGCTACACCTCGGCTCGCCTCGCCTCGCCGCTGCCGCGAATACGAGCCCGGGCCGTGGAAAAAACCGTCCGTCCGAGTCCGAATTACTTCAAATGTGGACGATCCCGAGGCAGTCCTGGGCCGAAAAGCCCGGTTCCCAGTGACAGAAACGTAATCCGGGAGGCGGTTCGTGGCGAGCCTTTTTCTCTCGTTTTAGGGAGAGACGCTTAGAAAATGGCGGCTAGTAGCTCTCGGTCGGATTTGAGTCTGACAAACACACAAGTGCTGTGTGTGCGCGCGCGCGCGCCTCTGAGTGAGTGAGTGTGTGTGTGTGTGTGAGTGAGTGAGAGCGCGCGAGTGCTGCTGGTAGGCGGGAGACATTTCTCATTTTCACCACCAGAGTAAAGGGCAGATAAGAAACGACATAAAAGCTCAGAAGATGATACCACAGGAGGGCATTGTCTTCTCTGGAAACAGCGCAATGTCACTTTTTAACTGGTTAGACTGGAAATACTGCTCAACAAAATGTTTTTAATGCACACAAAACTCCTCTATACTAAACATTATATAAATATTTAGATAAAACAACAAATAGTGTTAGGTATTTACCCGCACATTAATCACATTATTTTTTCTGTACTTTTGTTATTGTTTTTTGCTTTGTAACATTTAACACATTAGGGCTATGACTTTTTTCTTTCTAACGTTTGCGACTTTTTAAAATAATATTTTCCACATAAAAATATATTGCTTCAAAATAAATGTTTCACTCTTTGGTGCAGTTGTGTAACTTTTATCTAGCCCTTTGCTACACACTTTCGATGTTTCATTTAGCTTACTGCTACTTTTCTCTAACTTTATTTAACTTTTAGCTACAATTTAGCTTATTTTAACCTTTAACTAGTCTACTGCTACTATTAGCTTAAGCTACTATTCAGCTACCTTTACTTTAAACTGGCTTTTCATAAATTAATTTCTAGCTAGCCTATCAATAGTCCTAGCTGATTCTATCTACATTCTGCTGTTTTAGTTAACCTTTTCCGCTTTTAGCTTCTAGTTACAGTTTTGCTGCTTTTGTTACAATTTTTTTTTTGCTTTTACCCAAACTTTTGCTGGGTTGATGTAAGCTGACACTTTTAGCTTCTAGCTACTATAACTAACTTTATCTCGCCTTTTTGTACTTGTTGCTTTTTGTTAGCATTTTAGTACTTTTAGCTACTACTCTGCTTCCTTTAGTTTTTAACTCGACATTTGCTACAATTAGCTTTTAGCTTGCATTCTTCTACTTTTCGTATATTACTAGCCTTTTGTTACATTAGCTTTTAGTTACAATTCTGCTTTTGACCAGCCATTTGTTACTATTAGCTTGTACAGTAGATACCATTCTACTATTAGTATTTTACTAGCTTTTTGTTGCTTTAAGCTTTTAGTAATACTGCTTCTCTTAATTTTTGACCAGCCTTTTGCTACATTTAGAATTCTAGTATGTTTAGTATTTTGTTAGCCCTTCTGTTACTATAAGGTTTTAGCGACCATTCTGCTACTTGAAATTTTTTACTCTTCTGCTATTGTTAGATTCTAGTTAGCCTTTTGATGCTTTAATACTCCTCGTGACTTGGCTACCTAGCTATTTGTCAGGTCCTGATGACTGAAAATTGACACGAACACAGAATGCTAACGGTATACCATCATTAGCGTATAATGCTAACTGTTGTATACCAGCGTGTTGGATCAGATCCATAGTAGCATGATGGGAAGATGTAAGAGCAAATGTAAACTTTGGACCAAACAATCACAGCAGATATTAATTTAGTTGGCTCCGATTGAACAACAGCTTCAGATTGGATCCACTCATGCTAAGATGTAGCATTCATGTTTCCTTCTGTAAACACAATTTGCTGCATGTGGCGTCACAACATCTTCTACTTCAAGGCCGTGGACTGTCTGATGGAGGTCCACTTTCAATTAGAACGTCAACAACCACAAAGAAAAACATCTGATCTGAGCTTTAGGACCTGCAGGGTGAACGTAGCCTAAGAGACATTGCCCTGGCGGCCATTTTGAATTACAGTGGCTCCAGTTGTAGAAGTATATCCAGTGGTTATTTCCTCAAAGTTTCAATAAATTTTGTCCAATGGTTCAAGAGCTATTTTACTAACAGATACATGTACACGCTTCAGACAACAAATATTCTGTACAAGTACAAAATTCTTCTGGATTACTCTGACTTTGAAAGAGTTATATAAATACAACAGAGACGTAAAAGTAGCTATTGTGATTAATCATTTCCTGTAAAAATGCTTTCAGATTTAAACTTTCTGCTGCTTTTCACAAAGAAATAACTTCTGCAGTCGTTTCAGAGGGTATTTGTACTTTGTTGCGCTCTGACTACTAGGACAAGCTGTTTGTGTTTATCTGATGTGGTCTCAAATAAACGTCTGTTCTCACTTCCTGTGCAGTAAAATGTTTACTCAGGCAGGACGTGATGCAGTTGTCCTCGTGTTTTCTCAAAGAAATCTCAATCAAACGGATACCGACGCTTCCTGAAATCCATGTTTCCAACCTCAGATGTCTGCAATCCCTCCACAAAAAAAAGGAACCCTGAACGCTTCTCGTTTATACAATAACTTGTTTGGGCAACTTGCAGCCACAAAACCCACTGATGTTTGGCCTCAGAGATACAGTAAAAAATAAGGAAATAGACGTTAGAATCACCTTTGACTCCATTGTTGAAGTCCTCCGCTCAGTAATCCAAGAGGTCATAAATCCAGTTACAACATAAGAAACCTGAAACAGAATTAAAACAAACATTAGATAAACAGAAACATGTTATTTAACTATCAAATATTAAACCTGAGGACTTTCAGAATGATTAATGTTGTTTTATGGTTTCGTCTTTAATGGTGGTGAAAGTTTGAAAACTATGACAAGTTCTTGTCTGCTCTGTGTTGATTTAAAGCAGAAAATACTGATTTTTTTGGTGTTTTTCACCAAAGCTAAATTTTTCCATATTAAGTCAGACTTTGAGTCTCCAACAGCAGCGCGTTCTGCCTGTTTTAGCTTGTGTTCTGCCTGTTTTAGCTTGTGTTCTGCCTGTTTTAGCTTGT